TATATATATGTATATGTATGTGTGTGTGTGCATGTAACTTATATTATAGATATATACATAGAAACACACATACTTGTATAAACTTATGTACATCCATAATATAGGTAGGGTCTATCCATCATAACTTTATTGAAAACACATAATCAGTGCACAAATCACAAATTTTAGCAACAGTAAAAAATAGTAGTAACATGTAATAAAGCAGTATATATCGACATGTCATAGAGACATAAATATATGTTTCATATGATGCCAACGAACGAAATAAGACGTGCTTGTGCATTCGTGATATCAAAAGAGTCACTTGATGCACTCTATCTTGCCATCTCGTTCAGTGAGACTGCTAAACAGCAATCCTGGCATCACCAACGCAATCTACGGAACATACAGTGGATGGAAGAAATCCTGCACGAGTTGACAGGTGGTTTATCCATGTTTATCCAATTATTATCATAGGATTTCATTAATAGGAAATATCCAATTATTATATTATGGTTTATCATATTATGGATAAACCATTATCCAATTATTATCCACGATTCATATTTATTCATAGGGTTTACAGTATCATGTGCTCTACTTCAAGGACGAGCATCAAATTTTCGGATCTCCACACCATCATCCTCTCCTTAAGCAGCTGACGCTAACAGGAACACAACATGGAACATTTTTCCTCACAAAATGGAAATGGTTCAAGCCACCACTAGTTTTTGTAGGATTTTACCAACCTCTCTCTTTTCTGGGGTTGCTATAGGTTGATATGACTGTGGGCCACCCGATGCCTGTGGCTAAATGCATGATAAAACTGGTGGATGGTGCAACCCTCATTCACAGTTTCAAATGTGGAATCATGGCACCCACAACCCGCCAAGAAAAAAACAGCTAGAAACCAAGCCGTTTCTTTTGTTACCCTCCAGTAAATTAACATAGACCCTGGTAGATAGGGGTTGGAAGATTAGTTTCCACTAAACATGGGTTATTTTCAGGGTCTATGTTAATTTACAAGAAAGTATTAGTGGGCCAGAACGATGAGAATACCGTTCAATGATCTAATACGGCCAGGATTTAGGATTGTCCCGGGACCCGTGAATGGTGTACCCACCGACACTTTAAAGCTGCAGTATTTATCACATATTCAGTGACAAAAAATGATAAATATAGTATATGATACAAATAGTGTTGTAAATAAATATCCAGTAACATTGATTGATAAAGAAATAACATATTTGATGATTGTTTTTCATGACGTTTCTTCGCTCGGTCATGGACATCTTGCTGCGGACACTGTGTTTTTCACTGCAATCTGCGTGCGCGCGTTGTAGGTTCAAGGCTGCGGGAGAATTTTGTACAAGTAACGGTTTTCTTCTTTCCCCGGTTGAACACTACTATTAATATCGTTTTCTGAGTGGGTGGGAATTCTGCTTCCACATGGGAGAATTTCAGTAACGGTTTCCTTCTTCCCCCTCTTGAAAACCATTAATTAAATATATATATATACATGTGCGTGTATATATTCCCCTTCAACAGTGTGTCCACACTGACGTGTTCTTACGGTAAGAGTTAAGGCCGGTGGATCCTGGTAAGTTGATGGGATCCAAGCATCGTGGGTGTGGGGCTCAGAGAGGATCATGACGCCATTTGGCAACTCCTGGCGAACTGGCGCAGAGCGATCCTACCAATATGACGACTATCTATAGATAGATAGATCGATAGATCGTTCGATAGTTCGATAGATAAGATAGATCGGATAGATCGGATAGATCGGATAGATCGGATAGATAAGATAGATAAGATAGATAAGATAGATACGATAGATAAGATAGATAAGATAGATAAGATAAGATAGATAAGATAGATAAGATAGATAAGATAGATAAGAAAGATAAGATAGATAAGATAGATACGATAGATAAGATAGATAAGATAGGATAGGATAGGATAGGATAGGATAGATAGATAGATAGTTAGATTGATAGATAGATAAATCTACATTTTTATTTATAAGGCGCAGAGCGATCCTACCAATATGGCGACTACATATAGATATGTATATATACATGTTTATTTATTCTAAAAACATGTCATATCCAATAGATCGTTGGGACCTTCCAATAACCGATAGAAACCTAACCAAAATTTGGCCAAACCTTAAGGGCAAATGGCTCATTTTCAGACACACTGAAATATCATATTACTCCAAGTTGACCTTCCAATAATATCCCCATTATATGTGTCCCCATTATATCCCCATGTTGGTATATACCCTCTGGAAATTTAACATAGCTAATTATTGAAAATGGTCATTTAGTTCGTGGATTTACCCATTAAAAATGGTGGATCTTTCCATATACTTACTTTAGTTTACCAGAGGGTATTGATATCCATAACTATTAAAAAACTATTAGTTTTATATCTATATATAAATATACCTATAACTTATAACTATTAGTTCCAAACCACCAACGACCAACCAGTTGGTATATACTGATTATGCTTAAATCTCCACTCTCCCAGAATCTTCTGTCCATCCTGTCCTGCAACTTCACGTCTTCACCACCACTCAGCACGCGCGTAAAGTTCATGCTGTCCACCTTCTTCACAAGCCTTGAAATCGCCCGATTCTCAGGTCGAATGAATCGAATCTCAAAAAAAAACAAAGCATGGTGATCGGAGTGATTTGCATATAGTGGAACATTATACCACATAATCCCTTCCTCCTAATACTAAACGTCCCCCTAATACTAAAAACAGGCATCCATCTCCAATTTCCGAAAATTTCAGTTTGGCCAATTTGACTTTTAATTGATCCCCTTTAAAAAACAATTTAAAAATCAACCTACCATTTGTGGGTTCTCCCCCTAATACTAAAAACTAGTTCACCCCGGGGTGTTTAGTATTAGGGGGGCCTAGTCCCAATCCCTCACTCCAAGCTGCCTGGCTACTCTAGCAATTAGGGGTAAGCTTCGAACTGCCATTTTTGGCAATATTTTAATTGCGTTATATAAGGAAATTTAATTGATTTTGAGATCGGAAAAAATAGTTTTTAGTATTAAGGGTTTTAATTTAGTATTAGGGGTAAGCTTCGAACTGCCATTTTTGGCAATATTTTAATTGCGTTATATAAGGAAATTTAATTGATTTTGAGATCGGAAAAAATAGTTTTTAGTATTAAAGGTTTTAATTTAGTATTAGGGGTAAGCTTCGAACTGCCATTTTTGGCAATATTTTCATTGCATTATATAAGGAAGTTTAATTGATTTTGAGATCGGAAAAAATGGTTTTTAGTATTAAGGGTTTTAATTTAGTATTAGGGGTAAGCTTCGAACTGCCATTTTTGGCAATATTTTAATTGCGTTATATAAGGAAATTTAATTGATTTTGAGATCGGAAAAAATAGTTTTTATTATTAAGGGTTTTAATTTAGTATTAGGGGTAAGCTTCGAACTGCCATTTTTGGCAATATTTTAATTGCGTTATATAAGGAAATTTAATTGATTTTGAGATCGGAAAAAATGTTTTTTATTATTAAGGGTTTTAATTTAGTATTAGGGGTAAGCTTCGAACTGCCATTTTTGGCAATATTTTGGTTCCCTAATAATAAATACCCCCCTAATACTAAAAACTACTTGCCGTGTTTTGTATTAGGGGGGGGGGGTTTAGTATTAGGAGGAAGGGATTAGATCATTTATGTGGTATACCATTATACACATAGTGTATACACATAGTGGAACCAAAAGAGATGGCAAATAGAACATAGTGGAACCACGAGTCATGGCAACATTCTTGTGACAACATAGCTTCATCCAAGTTGGATCCTGTCTCCGCAGTGGACTCCCTAAGCCATTGGAAGCCATGAAGATCTAGCCGATGGATGCCGATGGTAAATAGAAAGATGTGGAAAACCCCTGGTTTATTCAGGAAAATGATCGTTTAAATGGATAAACTATGATAAACCATTGGGTTTTCCACATCTTTCTATATGTTCACCAGTGCCAATGGCATCAACCCCCCAAAAAGCTCCCAGGACACCATCGGCACCAAGCGGCTTTTCTTTCTCATCCTCTTTCTCGGGCATCCCCTGACACATCGATCGGAAGATGGTAGCAAGCCCCTTAAACGCTGGAAAGAAAGGCAGTTTAGATGGTTTCTACTTGAGATATTCTTGGGATCTACTTTCTTGAGATATTCTTGGGATTACAATTCCTGGGATATCTTGTTGCTTTCATTGTTTTCCTGGGATTTGAGATATTGTTGGGTGTTGCTGTACCATAAAATTGCCATTGGTCATCTTCATGCGACCTTAAACATGTGATATGTTACTTAGCATTCAAACCATCCGAACATATCGATCTTCCATAGTTAACCTATGTACATATAAGCACTACACAATGAGCTACACTTGTAGATAAGTGGTTTAGATATGGCATTCTATGATCAATACAATGGACATCTAATATATAAAGGAATATGGTAATGACCTATATGATATATGGCTTATATATATATATCAATATATACCTACACATACACACACACATATATATATGAGCTATATAGTTATATAGGAAAACTATATAAAATAAACATATGGTTTTGATATGCCTTAATATGTTCAACATAGTTCAACATACCTTCCATTTTTCTGTACACCTTTTTCAGCTTCCCGGGTCAGATCGGCCTCACACAAAGCCTCCGCATAGGTGTAGTACGAGTCGCTGCGGAAGGCCATCGCGAAATGTCGCTTGCGGTTGGCCGGTTGGTGGGTTGGTGGAGCCTAGAAACTGCAGAACGAAAGGTGAATACAAACAAAATATTTTGGGTGGTTGTATCATGATACTTATAATTGTTGCATTATACAAACACATAGAAAGTAGTTTTCTTTGTTGTTGCTAAGTTGTTTTTGTTGGGCGGGAAATTATGATTATAAACCTTTGTAACCGAGTAACCATTCAAAAATCCAATCCACCCATGCTCCCACGGTCACAGGTCGACAACCGGTCCTTGGCTAATCAACCACTGAACGTTCTCCCTGTCCCCACTGGCTGCCGCGTAGTGCATCGCAGTGCGACCACGGGCATCTTGAGACTCCAGCGGTACCTGCAGCACCCGAGGTGGGGACGGATGGGACTTCGAACAAATGGACAAGTGGGACATGCATATATATATATAGCATTTAACATATATGGGGGTACCCCAAAATGGATGGTTTATAAGGAAAAATCCCATTAAAATGGCTGCCTCCACTTATGGAAACTCCCAATATGAACCAAGAGTAAAACCTAGACATATATACCTTAACCATATCCACTTATAAGAGTATATCATATGATGAACCAAGCTATTAACCATTTAATAATCATTTAATGACCTCCAAAATTCATCTGTGGTCGGAAGGCCCTGCCTGCGACAGCCCCGCCAATCTTTGCAGAGTACCAGTGGCTGACCCCACCAGCCCGGCTACCTGCAGCCACTCTGATGTTTGTCATGTGTTGTCCTCTGCGAGTCCTCTTAGGGAACTGAGCATGAATCATGTTTATCAGATCATGTTCAAAATGGTTTGTCACGTGTTTTTTTTGATTGGAGATATGATTGTCAATAATGGCTGGCTATCATGTACTTTGAGAAAATGTTTGGGGTGGGGAATTTTGATACAGAATGTCCAGTACAAAGAAACTCCCAGAACAATCAAGACAATGTCTGCTGAGTTGCATGCACTACGCAACTAGTGCAAGCAGCCAAGAAGTGCTGCTTGCAACAAGTAGAAACTCCACGTGAAAAGGACGTTTGGATGATTTTTCAGCAACCAAACTTAGACTTGAGCTGTGCTAACCATGCTCCTCACTGGTTCCTCACTGGTGTTGTGAGGTACCCTCTGGTAATTTAACGTAGCTATGGAAAATCACCATTTTTTATGGGAATAAACACTATTAATGGCCATTTTCAATAGCTATTTTGACATAACCAGAGGGTAACTCCAAAGTCAGATCCCCAGCACTTCAGCGAGTTGCCGTGTGCCAGGGCCAAGCTCCATGACCGTCCAACGCCAACACGTCCACCTGAAGGAGAATCAGCTCCTGGCGACGTCGTAGAAGGATATGGTTCACATTGGTTCACCATTATCCACATGGTGAATATTACAGAAATATATAGAAAATTATAGGAAATATCCATGTTGGCATGAACCCTTAAAATGGTGAATATTAGAAATATATAGAAATATCCATGTTGCTAAGGATATGGTTCACTATTGAAAACGATCTGCACGCCTATTTTTAAGAGTTGCTGATGTGGTTCTGCATGACCTATCGAAGTGGATGCCACCATTCCGGGGCGAGCTGATCAGTTGGCAAATCTTCCACAGGGATCATCCCTAGTTGACATCGGTTTCTGCATGTTTCCGCTCAATTGTACTGGTGGTTCCATAAATTTCCATATAGAATTCATAGTTTCTGTGGTTCGAGTAGTACTGTCCAATTTGACCAAAAAACATACAGCAAATGAAGTACCTCACATCACTTATCCACATTTTCAAATGGCCGCGCTTTGCACTACCCAGTACTCTCTCTCTAGCAATCATCGGACAGGCGCCAGTCCTCTAGCAAAGCTAAGTCAGCATTCCTCGGGGCAAACCAGGTCAAAGCTCCAAAAAAGGGAGGGGTGTTCCATTGGGACGTTTGATTCCCAATCATCATTACCCTCTGGTAAACTAACATAACTATGGAAAATCACAATATTTAATGGGAAAATCCACTATAAATGTCCATTTTCAATACATAGCTATGTTAGTTTACCAGAGGATATCCATTTATAGTGTTGATTCTATCCCCAGAATTCCCACTCATCATTATAAATTTCCATGAAATCACCATAAACCAAGAATTTTCTCCAAAGTTTTTTCAACACGAGCTTTGGCTGCTCCGCCAGGCGTCAGATGAATCATCCTTCCCCTGCCGCGTTGGCGCTTTTCGCCACCGTGTCAGCAACGCTGAGATCTGCGAGGGCTGGAATTCAGGTGGAGAATGGGATGATTTGCAGACTTGTTGGGGGTTTGGAACTTGTTTGTGTACCTTGGATCTGCTTAAGGGGATCCCAAAAAATAAGAGAGCTGGCCGCTGTGGGAGTGCACTTTTTTCCATGCAGTCATTACATTAATCATTATATTAGTCATTATATTAGTCATTATATAAGTCATTATTTTTATCATTATATGAATCATTATATTTATGATTATATGAATCATTAAATTAATCATTAAATGAATCATTAAATGAATCATCATTATATCAGTTATTAAATAATTCATTATATTAATCATTTTATTAATCATTATATTAGTCATTATATATATATATATCATTATATTAATCACTATATTAGTCAATAAATTATCAAGTATATCAGCCATTACAAAAATCATTATATTAATCATTATCTTTGTCATTATAAAAGTCATTATAAAAGTCATTAAATGAATCATGAAATGAATCATTAAATCTATCATTATATGAATCATTATATTAATCATTATATTAATTATATTAGTCATTGCATTAGGCATTATATGAACCATTACATTAATCATTATATGAATCATGATAATAATCATGATATTAATCATTAAAATCTTCATTTAAATAATTATTAAATTAATCATTAAATTAATCATTATAATAATCATGATGTTGATCATTTTATCAATCATTATATTGATCATTTTATTAGTCATTATATGATGTTTCAATCATTATATGAATCAATATATTAATAATTAAATCAATCATTATACTAATCACTATAACATTCATTATATTAGCCATTGCATTTATCATTATATTAATCATTATATTAATCATTTTATTAATCATTTTATTAATCATTACATTACTCATTATATATAAATTCATTAAATTAGTCAGTATTTTGCTCATGATATTAATCATTGTATTCATCATAATAGTAATCATTATATTAATCATTCTTTAAATATAATCATGATACTAGTCATTATAAAAGTCATTACATGAATCATGCAATGAATAATTCTATCTATCATTAAATGAATCATTATATTAATCATTATATTTATCATTCTATGAATCATGATATTAATCATTATGTTAGTCAATGAATGAATTATTATTTCAGCCATTACATAAATCATTACATTAATCATTTTGTTAATCATTATATTAGTCATTATAAACGTCATTAAATGAATCATGAAATGAATCATTATATTTATCATTATATGAATCATTATATTAATTATATTAGTCATTGCATTAGGCATTATATGAACCATTACATTAATCATTATATGAATCATGATAATAATCATGATATTAATCATTAAACTCTTCATTTTAATAATCATTAAATTAATCATTTTATTAATCATGATAATAATCATGATGCTGATCATTTTATGAATCATTATATTGATCATTATATTAATCATTATATTAGTCATTATATTCATGAAAAAAAAGTCATTACATTAATCATTATATTAATCATTTTATTAGTCATTATATAAGTCATTAAATGAATTTTGGTTTTTCCATGGATTTTTTTGCAGTTTGGCCTGGGGGGCGCAGGTGTGCAAATTGTAGAGACGCGCATTTTTTTGAGAGGTACTGTAATGAAAGCATCTTCACATGAAAAACATTCAAAACAACAATGGAAAAAACAAAAAAAAAGTTCAGACCCATGGGCAAGGTCTGGGGAGAGGCCTGGCAGGGGACATGGGTCTGAACTTTTTGTTTTTTTTTGTTTTTTTGGTTTTTTCCATGGTTTTTTGCAGTTTGGCCAAAACCTCAAGAACACAAAAAAAAAATCAGACCCATGGGCAAGGTCTGGGCTATCCACACACAAACCAAAAAACCAAAAAACCAAGAAACCAAAAAAACAAAAAACCAAAAAACCAAAAAACCAAAAAACCAAAAAAAAACAAAAAGACAAGACCCAACACTCTGCATCTGACCCCCTCCCCTTGGGGTGTGCAATCTTGTTTTTTTGTTTTTTTTGTTTTTTTGGTTTTTTGGTTTCTTGGTTTTTTGGTTTTTTGGTTTGTGTGTGGATAGCACAGGCCTTGCCCATGGGTCTGAACTTTTTGTTTTTTTTGTTTTTTTTTTGTTCTCGAGGTTTTGGCCAAACTGCAAAAAACCGTGGAAAAACCAAAAAACCAAAAAAACAAGAAACCAAAAAAACAAAAAACCAAAAAAACAAAAAAAACAAGATTGCACACCCCAAGGGGAGGGGGTCAGATGCAGAGTGTTGGGTCTTGTCTTTTTGGTTTTTTTGGTTTTTTGGTTTTTTCGTTTTTTCGTTTTTTGGTTTTTTGGTTTTTTGGTTTTTTGGTTTTTTGGTTTTTTGGTTTCTTGGTTTTTTGGTTTTTTGGTTTTTTGGTTTTTTGGTTGGGATAGCCATTGCAGATGTGCCAAGCAGAGATTGCCAGGCACTGTCAGTGGTTGCACTAGAAGCAAGGTCGATACACTACAGTACAGCAATGTTTGCTATGACATAGTGCATTCAGCCAATGAACAGCAGAGAGGAATGGAATTCAATTTTGTCCGGTTGCGCCATATGCTGTTGGATCTTTGCACAGGAAATGCTGCAATTTGCGCACTCCCACAGTGGCCTGTTCTGAAAAATAAACACACACACGTATACATATATATATATAGAAATAGATTCCTCAAATCTTGGATTTCTCATTAGGAAAATAGAACATAACCTTAAGCAAACCGAGGTTTCTCACTTATTTCGTGCACTGCAAGTCACACTGAAGCGAGCTTGGGAGATCCAGGTAAGGTTGGCACCCGAAAACGGAACAGATTCGTGAAACAGTAGAAGGTACCTACCCAATCTAACTGTTGCACTGGAGGTATTAAATACCCAACTTATGGATATTTATGGATATTTCTGCTATTAGATTTATAAATTGGGTATAACATAGCTACATATACCCTATAAAATTTAGGTATAGAATATTCTACCATTTTTTTTCTAGCCAACCAGGCGTAGAGAAGTCGTAACTCATCAACTTTCCACCCTCGAATCCATGGATTTTGAAGGTCAGTTGGCACCCCCCCCACTTCGCCAACGGCCTTGGTCTTTGGCCAACTGTAGAACCTGCCGTGCCTGATCAGGAAATCCCCAAAAGCATGTAACAACTCTAGGTATTAGGTACCTAACAACTATATATAGCTAATACCTAATCTAACTAATCTAACTATTTTTCCAGAAGAACTAGGCTTGTACTGATACCTGACAATCTATACCTATGTGCTGATCATGAATCATCTACAAGATACAAGCTGCGGGTAGCTAGGTCAATGCTCCATTCAACTAGTCAACTTGAGATAGTCAAATGAAAGAGTCAACAAATATCCTCTCACAACCTTCATGTGCTGTGAGGAATGCCTTTAATTTGAAACTGCTGATGAAGGTTACCCTCCAGTAAATTAACATAGACCCTGAAAATCACCCATTTTTAATGGAAACTAGTCTTCCAACCCCTATTTGCCAGGGTCTATGTTAATTTACCAGAGGGTATCTTGAATCAACCCAACTCTTGGTGAAGATTGTGGAATTTCTACAGTCGGAGCTCACAACTCTCCAGCACTAAAATAGGAGTTGGTCCATGTGGCCCCATGTGTTTGCAAGAAGGAAACCCCAAATGTTTGCATTAACAGAAATGATGTTCAAGTTCAACCCATCTCAACAATGTGAGTATTATCAGGTAGATTGGTAGGTTCATCGTGACTATTCAACATATCCAGTTTTATGGCATTCACTTCAAGGTGCACCCTTTATTTTAAGTGGTTTTATAGCCCCCTTTGACCAGTTCAATATATCTACCATTCATAAACCAACTTAGCCGACGAACTCACCAAGTCACCACCTTGTTGGGCAAAATCCCAACAAAAAAAAACAATGATATTCCCAGGATCGATTTTACTCATGATCATTTTTAAGTAAAATCCCCATTTTTGCCCCGTTTCTTAATACGGTGCTGTGTCTCCATTGGTTGATCGAATCACTTCCCAGTTTCGGATGATCACTTCACAATGATAATTTTGGATCATCACTTGCTTATCACTTCCAATATAAATAGTTCCTAAATTCATTGGTTTATCAGTTTATTATCATTTTGGCGGCACGAAAATCATTTCAAAATCAGCTGGAAATGGTGCTGTTTTATGACCACATCACCATTTTTTTTGGGTGGGGTTTTCCAGCCAACCATGTTTGATTGCCAAAGGGTATCAACCAATATTCCATTACGACACCATTCATATTCCATCATTATATTCCCATGGTACCACCATCTCACTGTTGGTTAACCCCCCATGTTCCCAAACCTTCCGTAAGAAAATAACAAGTATCAAGTATCCTTGAGTTGTAGCCAATTTTGCTAATTTATAATTTTTAGAACCTATTAAAACAAAAAAAACGTTAAAACACACCATAAACATAGCCACGTTCCATCAATTTATGATTGATTTTCCCATTAAACAAGATTAAAAATCACCATATATGTGTTTCCCCTTATTTTCCCACGGAAGAACCATTTTCCCTTTAAAAACAATCCGCAGTTTTCAACACCAAGCCGTTTGGCGCCTCCCCGTAGCGCCCTCCGCGCAGGGCCCGGTGCAACGGCAGGTCGCCCACGGCATCGGCCCAGAGAAGCTGACGGAGCACCTGGCGAAGGCGCGGAGAGTGGAGGGAAAATTCACCATTTTCACTGGATTGGTTTAAGGGAAAATCTTAATTAACCGGAAACCCATGGTTTTTACCATCAAATATAGGGTTTTCCTGTAAATTTTCCCATCATCCAATTCTATGACATTTCTAATGGGTAAAACCATAATATTTCTATGGTATTTCTATGGCCATTTTTTTTTGGCTATCACTATTTCTATGGTATTTCTACAATGTGAGGCCCTCCAGTTATAAGTTGGTTTAGATTCGCCCCAGTAACTAGTTCGTTAAAAGTACCATAAACCATAGTTATTGGAGTTATGTTCACCAACTTAGCTATCTTGGGGGCCTCGTATTGTAAGTACAATAAACAAAGGAAAAAATGACTGGTTGGTGGTTGAGCCACCCCTCTGAAAAATATGAAAGTCAGTTGGGATGACTATTCCCAGTATAAGGAAGAATAAAACATGTTCCAAACCACCAACCAAATGATGATTTTATTCCAACTGGAGAGTTCCGCAGTGAAACATGGTGAAACATGGTGAGACATGGCGAACACTCATGATCTGCTGGGCTTCCCCACCAGCGTCACTGGCAAGTCCAAGGTCACTAGTGACAACAATGGCCAACTGGCTGCATGGTGCAACAGCGAACGGCCCTGGCGACAGCTGGGGTGACCTGGGGCCCTACAAATGCCGCGGTTCACTTTGGGATGCAACCAAAGAAACAAGTATATATATATATATATTTACATATATATATATATATGGTTGGCTGTGCGGTGCTGTCCTTTGGAGGCCAGAGCTTTCCTCCGAAATGCAGCTTGTTAGAACAGGTGACTATTGTCACATCTAAAGGTTCATCCTGACATCGTTTAAGTTAGAAGGAAGTTTAGAAGTCAAACTTCGCCCTCCTCAACCTCCCCAACCTCCTCATTAGGTGGTTAGTCCTTGGGCTTTGGCTTTGGCCTTGGCCTTTGCTTTGCCCTTTCCTTTGGGTGCCATCATCCAGATGGCGGATAAAGGGATGGCCTGGCAAGCCCTGGTGTGCAAGGCATTGCTGCTGCAACTAAAGTGCAGGCCAGGCATGGCACAACCAATGCCATCTTCAAGTTCTGCTTTATGCCTGGTGCCAGAACAATTTCAAATTTTGGCCCCAACAAGTTTACCTTACTTGCCAACCAAGGCTTTTCTTTCCATTCTTACTATTCTCTGTTCCTTCTTTTCTTTTCTTTCTTGCTGTTCTTTTCAATTTGTTCTGTTTTCTTTTTCTGTTTTGTCTTTTTTGTTGTCCTACCACTACAACTATAACTACAACCACAACTACAACTCCACTACGCTGGGCTACACTCCAGTGCACCACACTACACGAAGCCACACTACACTGCACTACAACTACAACTACAACAACAACTACAGCTACAACTATAACTACAACACTACAACTACAACAATATCAACTACAGCTACAACTACACTACACTACAGCTGCAAGTGCAACAACAACTACAACTACATTACATTACACTATACCACACTAATTACATCCAGCAGTTGTGGTTGAGGTGACCGCTGCAGCCACTCCAAAAAGCACAACTGCAACCACCTTTCGGTCCATCAGTGGATTCCATGCATCACAACAACTCACCTCTCCTATAGTTTCCTATCTTTGAAACTTCCGCCACCGCTTGTGCGGTACTACTGGTATAGCAAAATCTAAGTAATCAAATATTTGACTAAATAGAAGTTGGCGCAATCACATGAAAATAGTAATAAACGATACTAAACGGATGCTGGTCAGTATTTGTTTGGGGGGGAGCTTTTTTTTAGTTTTTTGAAGCCCAAAAAACACAACGCCAAAAATCTCAGCTCACCGTATGTCCACAGGGGCTCGCCAGCCTGAAACCATCCAATGTCTGTGGGTCAAGGTTCTCTAGGTGTCGTTAAATGGCGGGTTAGACACCGAAAATCAAGGGCCACAGCCTGGAAATTGGACCCGGTAACCTAGAGCGGATAACTTGGCAATTTCCTGACGGTCAATCATCTTTCCAGCTATGACATTTCATTTGTTCCCTGCGTTGAAAACCTCACATCTTGAGATCTGTTCGAGCGTTCACGTAGATGGAACGCCCAAAAATCCTAAAGCCATGTCAAACGCTCAAAATCTTTGATTTCCAGGACACATTAACCTTCGTATCTATAGCAGCTTTTGGTCGGCAAGCTCAATTTGTACCTCCATCGAATTCCTAGCCACATTAACCAACCACAATATCATCCAACTACTAAATATAGGGATATCATAGGCATGGGATAACCTCATTATTCACTGGATATCCCAACTCTCCATATTATAGCCTAGTTGGGATAGTAGGTTAAAGACCCTATTAGTTTGGCTATCCTACTATCCATATGTTAGCATATATTAGCCATCCAATTATCCCAACTATCATATATATTATCCATATATTAGCTATAATTATATATAATATAGATTAGTTAACCTAGTATAACCTACTAATTATATAGATTAGGTTCATATAAATCAATAGTTCTACTATCCCAACTAGTAGGTTTTCCTAGCGAACCTCTATGGACCCGGAGCTTAGCTCCGAACCGATTCCTCCATTCGGGAGAGTTTTCCACGGCCTGCTGGTCCACTACCGAGCGGTTTGCGCCACGGCTCAGCAATGTTCTGGCGCAAGTTTGGGGGGCTGGTTCAAAGGGAAAATCATAAAGAAACCATGGATGTAGCTTCACAAGGGCGCAACATATGCGAATTGTTCAGATATTTTTGTTCGGATTTGCAATGAATCTGCACAAATAAACAGACGTAGCCGGCTGGTATTTTCATGATGTGTGGAATATGTATTGACGCCATGGCCAGGTTCAGTGGGACCATGATCAGCTGATGAAAATCTGTTCATCCCCCTGAAAATGTTCTGAGATGTTGTAAGAATAGAGGAACAAATTACCCTCTGGTTATTTAACACAGCCATGGAAAATGGCCCATTTATAGATGATTTTCCCATAAAAACCTTCATTTATAAGGGATTTTCCATGGCTATGTTAAATAACCAGATGGTAACCATTCTTCAAGGGGGTTTTCAAAAATGAGGCTACCCCCATAGCTGGATGCTTTACAATGGAAAAGCATTTTTTCAAATGGATGATGACTGGGGGTACCCCCATTTCAGGAAACCTTCATATCCCTATTGTTGGTTTACCTCCCCTTATTTCCTGAAGCTTTCCAGCCCTTCAGTGGCACACCAAAAGCCTGGTGAGGAGCAACCCGCGGCTGGCTGCTGCCAGCAAAGGAGTGAAGCCTGAACCTTAACGTTGGATCATGCTGGATCCCCAAGTAAATGGAGGGTTTAACCAATGGATTAGTTTTCTTGGGACAATTTTCACCGGAAGAACCCATATTTAATGGAATTTTAACCGGAAAGCCCCATATGAAAAATGGGAACATCTATGGTTTCCGGTTAAGATTCTCCCAAGAAAACCAATCCATTGATTTAACCAAGATATTGGTCCGCAATTGGATCACAAGGAAACCACCACAAGCATGGAGTTCATGGAGCGAAGGTGGTTAATATCGGACTTGTTCGTATGTCACATCACAAAACTGGTGTTTATCAGGTATAATCCATTCTACCTGGGATACGCTTTGGGATTAGCCTCATGGATGAAATATCACCATATACCCTCTGGTAAACGTTTACATAGCTATGGAAAATCACAATTTTTATGGGCAAATCAACTATAAATGGCCATTTTCAATGGCTGTTTGTTTACCAGAGGGTACATCAAAATGAACATTTTTTTCCAGCTTGGCCAAGCCGCTTGCATCTTGAAGTAACTTGAAGTAACTTCCATACCCCGCGGCAGCCAATGCCCAGCGGCGTGTGTTGGTGTTTTTTTTTGACATGCCGCCGACCACCAAAAGCAACTTTGCTGCTGGGTGGTATCGAACTACGCTGGGTGAATTGACGACCCTTCTGACGCCGCTGATGAATGGGAATAGTTCAGAACGAAGTGTGACAGCGGTATTATTCATGTTATGGACAAGTAATTGTAGAAGTAAAACATAACAAAATCAACATTGGCACGGAAAAATCATTGCGCCAACTTGACTTTGCGTGAAAGGACCACCCGCCAATGGCCAATGAAAACATCTGTAATTAACATATTCAAGACTAAAGATTTCAAACTAGGAACCCGGCGCATAGACGGCCGTGGCTCAAAATGAAGATTGAGTATCATCCAGCATTGATTTTCTGTGCGTTTGTAAGGGGATTTCTCAAGTTTCAGGTGTATACACTTTTTGTGGCTGAATTCCATTGGAAAGTTAGCAAAATGGCGGTTTCGCCTCAGCGAAACGATAATTTTAATGCTTTTTTGAAATGACGTAACTACTTTGTCTATGCCAGGATTTGCTTCTTTTTTTCCTCATCTGACAGCATCAATCCTGCGGCAGGAGGTCTTCCAAGTGTTCCAAAAATTCGCAGCAGCGTAGCATCCACGTATGTAGGCAAGGTACATGAACGTTAATATCCCCCCCACCCCACCCATGCCCAGTGACGTAGCAGCAGCGTAGCATCCACGTATGTAGGCAAGGTACATGAACGTTAATATCCCCCCCACCCCACCCATGCCCAGTGACGTAGCAGCAGCGTAGCATCCACGTATGTAGGCAAGGTACATGAACGTTAATATCCCCCCCACCCCACCCATGCCCAGTGACGTAGCAGCAGCGTAGCATCCACGTATGTAGGCAAGGTACATGAACGTTAATATCCCCCCCCCCCACCCATGCCCAGTGACGTAGCAGCAGCGTAGCATCCACCTATGTAGGCAAGGTACATGAACGTTAATATCCCCCCCCACCCCACCCATGCCCAGTGACGTAGCAGCAGCGTAGCATCCACGTATGTAGGCAAGGTACATGAACGTTAATATCCCCCCCACCCCACCCATGCCCAGTGACGTAGCAGCAGCGTAGCATCCACGTATGTAGGCAAGGTACATGAACGTTAATATCCCCCCCACCCCACCCATGCCCAGTGACGTAGCAGCAGCGTAGCATCCACGTATGTAGGCAAGGTACATGAACGTTAATATTCCCCGCCCACCCCACCCAACCCCCTTTTGCTAAAATATGTATTTCGGTCCACGGCCGTCTATGCGCCGGGTACCAACTACCTGAACTGCACATCACATAATCACATGAACAATTCAAAACAACGACTGCAATGAACCATTCAAGATAACCTGGGTGTTTAAACTGGTGGTATGAGCGACATCAAAATGTGACGTGGTCAAAAAAGTCATACAGGGCAAAACTAACTACTTGTTTGTACCAACAATTGTGCGTTAATTTGTTTCAATGAAAACATGATCATGCATTGAACCTGTTTGGATTTCGTTTGCGCAATTTGAACGGTTCAAAATGGCGGAAAATGGAGGCATTTCTTGAACCCGTGCCTTGTAGCACTCTTTTTTCCGGGTGTTTTAGGAACCCATCATCTTGCAAATCAAAATGTTGTCACCAGCAGGCGTGTCATGGGACGGTGAAACAAGCTAAATATGACTGATAACTGATATGGCCTTTGTTGCAAAACAGCAGTTCGAACTGAAAACGCAACATGGTCCGCATTCCATCCCAAAACAAAACAAAACAACGAATTGCATATGTTTGTTTCTTGCCACGTTGCTTCTCTTGTAGCTACAACAAGCGCCACGCAAAGCCGTCATTTGATGTCGCACCTCGTCAAGAAGGATTAAAAGGCCATGGGACGATTTCAACCCAGGAGCACACAAGTCTTCTCAGTCCGATCATGATTTTCGAGTTGATATAATGAGGAAAAAAACGACATAGAAAGGCACGATTGGAAATAAGCATCGGGAATCAAATCACATGAGAGTGTCATGGCCTTACAGTTGATTTGACATCGTGATCAAGAGGCCCCCTGGCGCTTCTATAATGAAAACGTTGCTCATTCAAACTGTTCAGCGACACTTTGATTTCACTAAATAGATATGGTTACAGCACCATGCAAGCAACCGTCACGGACACGCATCTGCGCGAACCAAAACTATATGCCGGACCATCACTAAGAAGAAACAAAACCCTGCGCGTGTGTTCCCTTCAAATGGTTTGACCATGATGTTAATTGATTTGACCATTTAAAGGTGGATCAAAAGGCAAAAAACCGACCAAGTCCTGCTTTCAGTCCATGGGGCAACAAATTGCGGCCACGTTGAAAAGAAGGCGCCCGCGAAGCATGCGACCGAGGGCGAAACCACGCAAAAATGACATTTTCAATATATCCCCATCATTTTCATGTTCATCTTCATCATCATTATCATCCAGCGAAAAAAGTAGAAAATCAATCTGCCAGCAGTTGAGGATTGGGCTTTTCTACTTTGGGACTTCTATCAGCCACAGAAGCACGGGCCGCATCTGCAAAACTCCTCCGCTTTGACGTGCTTTGTTCGTGTCCCACAGATGGCACCCACTGATAACCAAGGTTGTCGCCCGGTGATTTCCATTGCCCAGCCGCGGCAAGCCAAGTGGCCATCAGCCATCCTTCATCAACCTCAGTCATGGGCCACGAAGATGCTTGGAATCACCCCAGATCGGAATCCCCTCTTCAGCCCTGTTCATATTCAACAGCTCACCCAGAAAGCGACTTAAAATGAAATAAACATTAAATAAACTGAAATAAAATAAAGAACACAAAAATAAACAGGAATATAAAAAAAAATAAACAACTGGAGAAAGAAGTTGAACAAACATGAAAATAAAAACCTTCAAAATAAAAAATGAAGCAACATGCATAAACTACCAACCGGGGCTGATCTAAATCCTGGCTGACTGTGTGTGACTGTTTGGTCCTTTCAAGTGTTAAAAAAAAATTGGAATAGCTTTGCTTTGCCTATCAAATAAACTACCCTCTGGTAAACCAACATAACTATAGAAACACTGTTTTAATAAGTAAATATATATTAATATATAATAGTATATATATATATTAATATATGCATTTTCCTTAGGTCTATTAGTTTACAAGAGGATAGCCAACAAGCAAGGAATCGCTAATTCATGATGTTAAATTTACATCAACCACAAAGTTCTCTCAAAACTATCAGATCTAAAATCCATTTCCCTTCGCTTTTCCACCCGGATTTTTTTCTCTAGCTGAGCAGTGTCAAAAACCAGCAAAACAAGTCCTGAAATGATGGTTTGGTTTCAGCTCATGGATTCGCTTGTGGATTATGATAACCCACAATCAATATACAATCAATTAATCATAGGGTGAAGTGGAACATATTTTTGGGCACAACTTAGAGTATAACTATAGCATTTTCACAAAATCACCCAACACATTGGGTTTTTTGGAGATCCCTGCTCAAAAACACTGCTTTTTTTCCCTGTGCGAAGGCACTGTTTTTTCATCTCCAAGATCTCTACGCCTTTCTTCTCTGGGAACTTCATGTCTCGCTTGCTGACCATTTCTTAGGCGATCGAAGGCTTGTAGAGAGGCTGGGGGATGGCTGGGGATGCAGGAGCTCATCTTGGTTTCAGAAGTCGCCTGTTTTTTGAGGTGATAAACCAAGAGGAAATATTAGAAACAACATCAGTTTCCAAGATAAACACATGTTGCTGGATGATTTATTGGGCCCAATGCGAGAAACAAGCATGCTACATGTCAGTTGTTGTTCTCTTATAATCCCGTGCCTATAATGCCACAGGGAGCTTCACACACACCCACCAAGAAGCCAAAGAAGCATGAATCAACAAGCAACAGTTCACAATCAAGGCAAAAAACATCAACCCAAAAAAATACATATCTTGTCACAGAATCACCTTAACTCTCAGCATTGGCCGCAATCTTGGGGTCCCCCCATTTGTCTTCTCCCATCAGTTAAGAAACTCCAAGTCCACGGGTGGTTCCGCCGATGATTCTCGATAATGCCTCAGTAGGCCGCCCAACGATATCAACAACCCATCCAAACAAGCCTGGAGAAGTCGAGAATACCCTCCAAACTAACACTTTGCTATTGAGAATTGCCATAGAAATAGTTGGTTTACCCTCTGATAATTTAACATAGCTATTGAAAATGACCATAGAAATAGTGGATTTACCCATGAATAGCATGGTGATTTTCCAGTTCGCAAACTGTCAACGTTTACCAGGCCGGGTACCCATGAAAAATGCTGGATCTGTCCATAGAAATCATCATTTTCCCATGGTTTTCCCATGGTTATCCCATGATTTTCCATTGCCCAACCCGGATTTGTTCCAATGGAGATTTGATGCCCAGC